CCTACTGTAGCACAGCTTTACTGGTAGCAGGTATTCCAGGAGAAAACAAATAAAAGAATATAAATTTGCATTTGTGATGCCACAATATGTTTTTCCAGCCAGTTTGATCAGTAATAAGAAAACAGCTCAATGTGGAAATTCTCCTCTGGATGCCGCAATAACATCACCGTGATTTTCAAAAAAAGAAAAGAAAATCTACGTCCTATCTACAACCAGATGTCATTATATTGACAGCATATTATAACTGTATGCTACACCGCTTCTGGACAGAATGTACTATTTGAACAGCTGCAATGAGTAGTAGCATAAATAGCTGTCACTGCTAAGAAGACACCGTGAAACAGTCAACTTCCCTTGTTCAATAATGAAATCAGCATCACAGTGACAAAACTACACAGACATAACCTGACTGAGGGTCCAGACTTAATGGTTATGTATCGAGTAACGGGATTTTTTTTTTTTTTAAGCATGACATCTACAACACTAGAATTTAAATGTCAATGTGATACTTGGTTAAAAACTTGGAAAATGCAGAATTATGCCTGGACTTCACACGTACACAATCCACAAATAAAGATATTCCACACGTTTTCCTCCAGTTACAAAGTACCCCAGGAACTGTGGGTTTAACAAGTTGTACAAATGATATGTTTACACTGTGGCACCTCCAGCATTCCTACAAAAGTCATTTGAATACATTCATTTTTATATAAGGCAGGGTAGTAGCTACAGCATATTAATAGCTGGAGTCAGTTTCTACAACAGGGTCAAGTTACTGTGTAAATGAGCAGATGTCCATTGGCTAACCCACAAACTGGACTGAGTGTCCCCAGTGTGCCCCAGTAATCAGTTTTTAAACAGCCATTGACCAGGCTTCAGTTGTAGCATTTATGTTCTCAAGAACATTCAGATTCATGTGGATGAAAAGGTGCCACTTGTGAAAACACTAAACAAAACATTATGACTTCACATTGTAGGCCATGATAAGAGTTTAGCAAAGGGTGAGACACAGAAAGAAGGTCCAAACTGAGACAAAGAATTAACTGTCGCTAGTGATGTTCAGTCCCTCATGATCCTGGTACATTTAAAAAGTTGTGCCATGGGCAAATAAAAACATTTAAAAAAGAAAACAGGTAAGAGCAGGAGAGTAAAACCCATCATGCTTTGCAAAGAATCCTTACAAGGTCCAGGCTTGCAAAGACAGTCCAGTGAAGTTTTCATAGCCAGTGGCTGCAACAGATGAGTTTCACTAACTGGGTTTAAAAAAGGTTTGTAGTGTGCTACCAGGTCAGTAGAGCATCAATACCCATGTGTTTAAATGTGGAGAGTTCAGGTTTTGTTTATCTCTTAGAATCAACATTTAAGTCATTGTCTTTCTTTTAGCAGTGTCTCTTTTTATAGACTTGTCCTTTCAGTCCTTTAACCGGTGTACCCAGCAGCTGTGAGTGTACAGAAACGCTCAGAATAGCAAAGATCCAGTGATACGATTTCCCAGTGATAATACAACATGACTCAAAAAACGGGCGGGGGAGCAGCACTAACCTCTAAATCATAAGCCAGTGGTTGATGCTTTTGTGCAACGTACCTTACCATGAGATGATGATTGTTGTGCATGACCTCTGTAGGAAACAAGGTTTTGATTGCCTGTCAGCTACGAGATGATGTTAGAGGTCTGGTTGGCTAGATGGATTTAGTAAATGACTAACAGTGAAACTCTAATCAGGAAATTCCAAGGTAGGTGCTTTTAAGATGTTAATACAGACACTAAAGATTTGTTTCGACCCTTTTACAAAAACTAAGCTCGTGTCCATATTCTTGATCTGTCTACCTGATTCACTGTGTTCATTCTGTTTATCAGTGTGGGTGCAAGTGAAATTGTGGTCACTGTCAGTTGGCTCTTCCTTTCTGCTCTCCTCTTAGCCCACAGTGTTAAGTCTACTACCCCCAGATTGCTTGTGTGTGGATGGGCGAGAAAGTAATGGGCTGTGGTGGTAATAAAGTCAGGGACATGCATCTAATGGGGCTGGCTCCTCATGTCCACATCAGAGCTCAGTGGTCAGGAGACCTCTGGGTTTGACTCCATCCTCCGAGGCTGGTGGATGACCCATAGAGCTGTGGGACACAGGAGGGAAGGGATGGTAAAATTACTGCAACAGAGATGGAGACTACTTCGCTAGTAAAAGAAGCACCATAAAACATACTTTCTTGGTGACTAAATAAATATGATACTGTGTTCATAAAGGTGATGGGCCCAATCAGATCCTGTATTGGTATCGGGTCCAATATTGACGTCATTCACTCATCGGATATCGGATGGACAGGCCCGATCCATAGTCCAGTCTGCAGCTTGAGCTGGACCATGAGCCTGCTGTAACCTAACATAACTTAACATGAGTCGTGTCTGTACTGGAATCTGTATTGAAATCGGATCGGAACTGAAAAAAACGTGGAACGGCTGATGACTAGTTCATAAAAAGGTTCAGATAAAGCGCCCATCACAGGGTAATTTCCATCGCTAACATCATTCTGAACTCTACTTGCACATATTCTCAGTTCTACTACTGAGTCACATTGTAGAACTGATTACTACCTGATGTTTTGCTGTGTCCATGAAAAACTTTGCTTTTTTGTAACCAGTTTACAGTAAGACAAATGTGTGTTACCACAGGTTATTTTCTGCCCTTTGCTGTGTCTAGCAAGGACTCCAACATGAGCACCTTCTGCAGAGACTAATACACGATGGAAACAATGTTGGGGCCTCAAAATATACTTGTGATTTCTCAGTGTGCCAAGGTCAAGCAAGATTTACAAGTGTGTTCAGCCAAATGCAAAGACAGGTAAACGTTCTATTGACAGTTCACCTGCTGTGCTTTTTGAATCGACAGCTGAAGGAAGCATTTTCTTCCTTACACACACACATAACCTGTCAGGCGTGCCCGTGACCAGCCATTGAACCTGGTATACTGATAACAGCAACAACAGCCTTCTCCTCTGCAGGGGAGAGACTGTCTCATTCACATGTATCTTTGATGTGTTGGGGAATCTCTGCCACTTGTCTCTGTGGACAGCTTGAAAAAGAGCAGACACAGCAATATAGAAAGGCACAGGGAAGAGCTTTTCCTATTGTCGGTGGTATGCAGCTGAGTTTAGCTTAAGTGGGAGAATTACATCGGCGATGCTCTCGGGTCACGCTGCTGAGATGGTTTGTCATCAAACCATGATGCAAAAGGTTTTCTGAGACACTGCTGAGTAAGACAGTTAGTTGACATGTAAATATAGTCAGGCTGCATGCTTTAGAGTTTCTGCTGAAAACTGTGTTTTGTGGGTGCTCAACTATTGTCTGTGAGAGGCAAAGAGGGAAGTAGTACTGACCTTTTATGGATGAGGTTGGCCAAGATCCTGTGTTCTTCAGCTGGAAGCCCAGAGAAATTTGGTCTCTGTCCTGTTTATAGGGCCGTTCACTATTTGCACACCATTTTCTTTTCCTGTCGCTCCTCGTGTTCTTTCTGTCTCTCCAGGTTTCATTTGCTCTCACATTCAACTTTGCAGGTGTGAAGGCAAACAGCTCTCACTGTTGCAACGGCTTGCACCAGCAGCGTTGCTGCAGCTAAGATGGCTTGTTGAATATCTGTGTTGGCTGTTTAATGTTTAAGAGTTTGGGAGAAAACCAGACTGGGCCACTGGGAAAATTCCTGAATCTGAAGTCGGCACCAAAACAGGCTGAGGAGAGAGAAAGAGGAAGAGATAGAGAGAGACCCACACAACTGACAGACCAGTGTAGTTTGATTAGGAAAATGAATTCACATCATAAAATCAAATCAACATTATATATAAAGTGCTTTAAAACAACTGAGGGTCTATCAAAGTGCTTTACGCAGGGCAAATAACACAGTAAAAGTAAAATAAAGTCATAGTATTGCTATGCATTTTACTCTGGCAACTGGCCACTTAGTTAAAACAGGTCAGCGACCTTAAGTTTGGGAAAGGCATGGCTGGATGGTTAAGATAATGCTTTTCATTTGAACTGCGCCTTACATTGCTGGTTCTTACCAATAGTTAACATTTGCTTCATCTGACATGACCAGAACCTTTCTCTAACTTTAATCAAGTAAGCAGTTCTCCGTCCAATTTATTTTCACTAGAGGATCTAGTAAGTAGAATCTGGCACCATAGCTCACTCCAAATAAATAACAATGTGATCTGTAACTGCTGGATGTGTGTATCATGCTGAACATTCACAATGATACAAAGTACACAGGCATAATATACAGTAGAAGAGTTCACCTATAGTTTATTCCAACGTTAGAATCCTACAGTGTGTGGATGTGTATGTATATATATACACACCCACACAACTCTACAGTATAAGCCTGTTTGTGGGTGTACACCACCCTCCAAATACACGTGTGCAGTTGCTTCAGCCCAGCTGCCTGGTCCATAATAGACAATATACAATGCTCAACACATGACAGACAAATAATAAGCTGTTCTTAAAGGGAGACATGCTGACATGAAAATTGCCAATTAAGGACTGAGGTCTGGTGTGTGTGTGTGAGCACGAGAAAGTGAGTGAGTGAAAGACAAGGAGAGAGAGAACATTGTGGGTGTGTGTGTGTCAGTTCTTGTATGAATAATGAGGCTTTCTACTGACTCTGGCACATCACCATCTCACCTGGCATGCACACACATACAGTACATACTTATAGTACACACTGGCACAATGCAGCCCTTTAGGGATCAATTACTGCTCAATCACATCTTTATCATCTCTAAGCTTTGAGTTTGAATACCTCCCCAGACCGACCAGCCACACATACACACACCAAGACTATAAGCTTCTTTTCGAAATGCCCTGTCAGAGAACACAGGCTCCTGCAACAGCTAGCCAAACAACATAATAGCCTTTATTGTAATGATGGACTGAGATAATCCCATCTGCATGGTTGTGTGTGTGACAAAGACAGATCGCCTTTTCCTCTGGCCAGCTTACCTGTTGAACCTCCAGGACCTGTGGATATACCTGAGACCGGAAATAATCAGCACACACACGAACACACTCGCACAAAAAGCTGTATCTTTAGCTCTCATTTTCTCTTCCTGTACAGATGGGCAACCATTTGTTCATCTTTTGTGATGTGACACTTTCCAACAAGGTCAGTCTCGGATGCTGAGACAGGAAACTTTATCAGGATCAGAGAAAGAGATGGAGACAGATGTGAGGGCAGGAGTGGAGTATATGTTTCACCAGCATCTGGAGTTTACCTGGAAAATGAAGGCCTAGTTTAATTAGGAGCACACACTCACAAACCAAACTGAGCAATCACCTGATGAAACCTGTGGGACCAGATAAATAAATGTACATAAATACATGCTGTACATACAGATGGAGAGAAAATGGGAAATAATTGCTACGTCTTAGTATGTAAATGTGTCACACTGTAAAGAATCTTTATTTGTGGCTGACACACAGTAAATGCTGTAGCAATAGTAATGTTGGTGATTTTCCAAATTAGGTTCCCATTTACCACAGTCACTGTCTTTACAGGACTTGACTTATCTCTGGTGGATGGACCTGGTGTCTGGCCTGAAGTGCTGTTTGGTGTCTCAGCTGCAGGAACAATCTGACAAGCCAGAGAGGATGCCTAAAAAATAAAATAAACAGTCATACTGTAGGTCAATACACTGAGACACACCAACAACCAGAGAGAGGGGTAAAAAAGAGTTTTGAGTAAAAATGCTAATTTACTTAAATGCTCAATGTCCATATCCATTTTTTATCTCTTTATCAAAAATGTAATAGTTTCCAAAGTGAATAACAGCAGTAATGATGTTGGCGCTCGAGCAGTTTACATTTACCACAGACATTGCTGTCCCAGGACCTGATACACCGCTGGCAGATGGACCAGCTGATGACTCAGCTGCACAGTGAACCTGTGAATCTGTGCCAAATACAAAACGCTAGCACTACATTTCTGGCAAGAAATCCACAAACACATTTCAGCAATCTTTTTGTTGTCTTACAAAATCTAAAGCATAATCATTTATGAAAAAAGAGACGATGTTACTGAAACTGGTTAGTTCCTATTATTAGCTGACGTAACATATAAATGACGTGTCAGTGCTTTAGCCACTTAAATAACTAGTAACAGTTTTAACTTTTGATGAAAACCATACCATTTATTCTGCTTAGGTACTGTGCTGTCGCCCCCACTTGATGATGAAACATGACTAAGCCACACTGGACCTAGTAGTTAATCAAATGCAATCCATCCCAGATGAAGGCTGTGAGGCGTGTTCTTTTAAAGGCACACCCGTTCACCCTTCATATATTCGATATAAATCTCTAAATATCTGGTACTGCAGGGGGTTGTCTCCTCTTCTTCCCTGTTTTACGTTAAAGTTTGGAGACAGAAGGATAATTACTAAAAATATAATATATTTAGAAATACATTTTAAACTATTAATTACTTACCGCTCTTGCAGTTGGGTAACTAAGTTTCCTGTAGCAATGAAAGAGACCAAACAGACCACTGCTAAAGGCAAAAATGGACAGCGTTGCATGATTGGCAGTAGAAAGATGGACTCTGTCATATGATTGGCTTTTGAAAGATAGACCTGGATTTGTGGTTGGTTGAATTTGTACAGACCCTTGCTTGTCAGGTATCACTAAACTGGTTAACACCACTGACTGTGGTACGTCAGGGTTCTGTTCCCAGTCGGGGCACGATAAACGGTTTTGCTAAGCTGCGTTAGGGGAGGATGTAACAGAAGACAGAAATGGGACGAGGTAAGAGAAGGCAGAGATACCGATTACGCTCACACGATCAATTAGTTTTTCACAAATCACATTCATCAGAAAGACCTGAAAATATTCAACATGGTAACTTCTGTAGTGACACGTCTTTCAAATTTGTCATCTTATTTAATTGACTCATTTTCCTGGCTCCCCCCCCAGCTGTAGATTTCATGATGTACCTCGCTAGGCAGACAGCATTAAGGGCCCTGCCAAAGGACCCGCAGCTGGCCACGCCCTGATGATAGGGAATTGAACCTTGACCTGCCGTACCACAGTCAGTGGTGTTAACCACCGAGCTATTCACCAGCTGTACAGGAGCATTTCTGGAACTTTTACTAGTTTCTGCTATTGGTCAATGCAGCTTGGCAAAGGAAAGGGGGTGAGGCACACATTTTAATTGCTTAAAACAGAAACATTGAAATTAACATGGTACCACACAAACGGTCAAACAGTGAGACACACACACACACACACACTTACACAAAATTTGGCATGTGTTTTATGCTGGATGCCCTTCCAGACGCAACCTTGATTCAAACACGGGCCGCATCGGTGCGCCTTAACCACTAGCCTACCAGGGACGGCATGAGATGTAATAATGTTTCTATTTTAATTACTTCAAAGTAATGTAACTTATTACTTATTGATTACGTTTCTAAAAGTTGTCTTAAACTGGGCATGAAAGGTAAACATGGTTAACAAACTTAAACCAGGCAGTGTGAACCTCACAACAGTACTCGGATTTTATTAAAGATTCTTCAGTTATATATAACTGTTGAAATGTAGCCTATTGGGCACAGTGGTACCGTGGGTAGCACTGTCGCCTCATAGCAGAAGGTTCCTGGGCACTGCACCTTAACCACTAGCCTACCAGGGATGGCCTCTCACCTTCTTCAGATTCAGTTTTTCATTTCATCTTCCATAATTATTCAGCATTGCTTCTCAACCTCTTCAGCCATTTCAACAAATAACTTCAGCCACTACATCATAGCCTTCAGCCATTTCAGCATTTTCAGGGCAATTCTTCAACAATCAGCATCCACATGCATTTTCTTCAGGAAATGCATGTCTAGTTGCCTCGACTCTTGAAATATCCAAAAATGGTCCTACTTGAAGACACCAAATAACCTGTCTTATGTAAAAAACCAACAAATAACCTACCAGAAAGGTGTTTTTAGTGTTACTGCACTAAAGTTGATGGAATACTGACATTTTATCTTTTCTTCCCCGAGTTCAGACTAATGTAGAAAATCTAGACTTTCAGTTCTGTTGATTTGTTTCTGTTTTTTTCTATAGGACAAATGAATCCCTGTCAGAATTAAAACTAACACTGAACACCTGGCTGCTTTTCACCCAACAGTACTGATATCCAATCTCAAAGGATATTAAAATTTAAGATATTTGCTTTTAAATGTCTGAGCCGGCGACATATCAAGGCACGGGCCCAGTGCCAAATCTCCATGAATCCACCTTAAGCTTTGAGCGTGCTTTAGCAATCATGACCTGGCACAAGGTGCATGTACATAATCAATTATTCATCTGGAAGGTGGGGGAATGTCAGCCCATCTGCTGAGAGGAGCAGTCCTGGCTGAGTTATTGAGCTGTAAGCTGTTCTGCTGTTTAATGATGGCCCGGCTGTGGTTCGCTCTGTAGCATGGTCGCAGTCAATCAATTTCAAGTCACTGCATTTCATATTTAGGCCAATATGGCGATTCAAAAATACGAGCAGTCTCCACTTTCAGTTTGGTGCAAATTGAATATGTTCTAATGTGATGCAATCCTGAAGGAGCAACTTTTTTCTTAATTTACTTTTTTGGCACAAGCCACCAAACTGTGGTCCATTATAATCATGTCATAGTTTATTTAGCCTGCCTTTAAGGGAGGAGATGTTTGGTTTTGTTGATGACACAACTGAATAGATAAAGTGGCTTAAACTACCTGGAGAACAGAACTGTGCTGTAAACATTACTTGTCATGTGAACATACTGAAAGCCCATGATAAAGTCTGAAAGTATGCTGGGTAATGTTGCACCTTAATTCTGTTCACATTTAAAGTTACAAACAATCTAGTACCCTATTTTGAATGCCTTACAACTGTGATATTAGTAGTACTGCATTAAGAACACAATGTAATGGAGGGAAATGGTGCTAGAGTATTGTGAAAAAACCTAGGGGTAGAAATGGTACTGTACTGCCATCCTGTGGTAAATTGGATCTTACACGGTGAAGACAATGGTTTTGAATGAATGTCCTGGTACCCTTTTCTGAGCATCTTGGGTCAGCGGAGTTAAAAATCCTTTGTGAAATCAAAAAGTTGAAGACTGTGGTCTGTAATATTGTCAAACATACATTTCAATTTAACTGACTGAGCACTGAATACATAGTCTAAAGGAGTAAAAAATGGTTTAAGATCAGGTTTGTATTAATCATCTCTATTGCTCTTAATTTTAAGGAGTACCAGCAGTGGGGTGTGTCATCACATCATTCATTGTGCATGGAGCATATGAAGAATCAGTTAGATTGGTTTATCATTTAGCAGATGTTTCACAAAGTAGGATTAAATTAAAACCTTCCGAGGCCTGTGCTGGCCAAAAAAAACAGAACAAAAGCACTTGGATGAAAAATGGTGATACTACTAAATAAACTCAGGCTATTGAAAAAAACGACCGAGACCTCTGATACAAGAGCTTTACTCACTGTATAAAAGACTTGGGTGGGTTTGAATAGGAACACAAAGTAAGAGGTTTTACCTTCGAGTGATCAGGGCATCTTTTCAAAGCTGATTTAACAAGACAATCACATCTGTGTGTAGTAAATAGGATGATATAATCTTGCATAAATCCAACTCATCACTCACATTTGCAGGCAAATCATTTTAACACCAGTGAAACAATAAAAATTAATGAAAAACAACTAAGTCCTACTGTAGCACAGCTTTACTGGTAGCAGGTATTCCAGGAGAAAACAAATAAAAGAATATAAATTTGCATTTGTGATGCCACAATATGTTTTTCCAGCCAGTTTGATCAGTAATAAGAAAACAGCTCAATGTGGAAATTCTCCTCTGGATGCCGCAATAACATCACCGTGATTTTCAAAAAAAGAAAAGAAAATCTACGTCCTATCTACAACCAGATGTCATTATATTGACAGCATATTATAACTGTATGCTACACCGCTTCTGGACAGAATGTACTATTTGAACAGCTGCAATGAGTAGTAGCATAAATAGCTGTCACTGCTAAGAAGACACCGTGAAACAGTCAACTTCCCTTGTTCAATAATGAAATCAGCATCACAGTGACAAAACTACACAGACATAACCTGACTGAGGGTCCAGACTTAATGGTTATGTATCGAGTAACGGGATTTTTTTTTTTTTTAAGCATGACATCTACAACACTAGAATTTAAATGTCAATGTGATACTTGGTTAAAAACTTGGAAAATGCAGAATTATGCCTGGACTTCACACGTACACAATCCACAAATAAAGATATTCCACACGTTTTCCTCCAGTTACAAAGTACCCCAGGAACTGTGGGTTTAACAAGTTGTACAAATGATATGTTTACACTGTGGCACCTCCAGCATTCCTACAAAAGTCATTTGAATACATTCATTTTTATATAAGGCAGGGTAGTAGCTACAGCATATTAATAGCTGGAGTCAGTTTCTACAACAGGGTCAAGTTACTGTGTAAATGAGCAGATGTCCATTGGCTAACCCACAAACTGGACTGAGTGTCCCCAGTGTGCCCCAGTAATCAGTTTTTAAACAGCCATTGACCAGGCTTCAGTTGTAGCATTTATGTTCTCAAGAACATTCAGATTCATGTGGATGAAAAGGTGCCACTTGTGAAAACACTAAACAAAACATTATGACTTCACATTGTAGGCCATGATAAGAGTTTAGCAAAGGGTGAGACACAGAAAGAAGGTCCAAACTGAGACAAAGAATTAACTGTCGCTAGTGATGTTCAGTCCCTCATGATCCTGGTACATTTAAAAAGTTGTGCCATGGGCAAATAAAAACATTTAAAAAAGAAAACAGGTAAGAGCAGGAGAGTAAAACCCATCATGCTTTGCAAAGAATCCTTACAAGGTCCAGGCTTGCAAAGACAGTCCAGTGAAGTTTTCATAGCCAGTGGCTGCAACAGATGAGTTTCACTAACTGGGTTTAAAAAAGGTTTGTAGTGTGCTACCAGGTCAGTAGAGCATCAATACCCATGTGTTTAAATGTGGAGAGTTCAGGTTTTGTTTATCTCTTAGAATCAACATTTAAGTCATTGTCTTTCTTTTAGCAGTGTCTCTTTTTATAGACTTGTCCTTTCAGTCCTTTAACCAGTGTACCCAGCAGCTGTGAGTGTACAGAAACGCTCAGAATAGCAGAGATCCAGTGATACGATTTCCCAGTGATAATACAACATGACTCAAAAAACGGGCGGGGGAGCAGCACTAACCTCTAAATCATAAGCCAGTGGTTGATGCTTTTGTGCAACGTACCTTACCATGAGATGATGATTGTTGTGCATGACCTCTGTAGGAAACAAGGTTTTGATTGCCTGTCAGCTACGAGATGATGTTAGAGGTCTGGTTGGCTAGATGGATTTAGTAAATGACTAACAGTGAAACTCTAATCAGGAAATTCCAAGGTAGGTGCTTTTAAGATGTTAATACAGACACTAAAGATTTGTTTCGACCCTTTTACAAAAACTAAGCTCGTGTCCATATTCTTGATCTGTCTACCTGATTCACTGTGTTCATTCTGTTTATCAGTGTGGGTGCAAGTGAAATTGTGGTCACTGTCAGTTGGCTCTTCCTTTCTGCTCTCCTCTTAGCCCACAGTGTTAAGTCTACTACCCCCAGATTGCTTGTGTGTGGATGGGCGAGAAAGTAATGGGCTGTGGTGGTAATAAAGTCAGGGACATGCATCTAATGGGGCTGGCTCCTCATGTCCACATCAGAGCTCAGTGGTCAGGAGACCTCTGGGTTTGACTCCATCCTCCGAGGCTGGTGGATGACCCATAGAGCTGTGGGACACAGGAGGGAAGGGATGGTAAAATTACTGCAACAGAGATGGAGACTACTTCGCTAGTAAAAGAAGCACCATAAAACATACTTTCTTGGTGACTAAATAAATATGATACTGTGTTCATAAAGGTGATGGGCCCAATCAGATCCTGTATTGGTATCGGGTCCAATATTGACGTCATTCACTCATCGGATATCGGATGGACAGGCCCGATCCATAGTCCAGTCTGCAGCTTGAGCTGGACCATGAGCCTGCTGTAACCTAACATAACTTAACATGAGTCGTGTCTGTACTGGAATCTGTATTGAAATCGGATCGGAACTGAAAAAAACGTGGAACGGCTGATGACTAGTTCATAAAAAGGTTCAGATAAAGCGCCCATCACAGGGTAATTTCCATCGCTAACATCATTCTGAACTCTACTTGCACATATTCTCAGTTCTACTACTGAGTCACATTGTAGAACTGATTACTACCTGATGTTTTGCTGTGTCCATGAAAAACTTTGCTTTTTTGTAACCAGTTTACAGTAAGACAAATGTGTGTTACCACAGGTTATTTTCTGCCCTTTGCTGTGTCTAGCAAGGACTCCAACATGAGCACCTTCTGCAGAGACTAATACACGATGGAAACAATGTTGGGGCCTCAAAATATACTTGTGATTTCTCAGTGTGCCAAGGTCAAGCAAGATTTACAAGTGTGTTCAGCCAAATGCAAAGACAGGTAAACGTTCTATTGACAGTTCACCTGCTGTGCTTTTTGAATCGACAGCTGAAGGAAGCATTTTCTTCCTTAACCAGCAGGGGTCAACATGCTACAACGCTTGTTTAAACCACCTCTCAGTGCTTTGGTTCAAATCTCAGGAATTTTACCTGCTGGAGATGGTGTTACATGTGTGAGCGAGGTGAGAGGGAGGGGAGAGAGCCGCCCCCCCATCTGCCAGGAGAAGAGGAGTGACCTTAGTAGGGGGTTCAAGTTCGAGCAGGCCATTAGTAAAGATGCCAGGAGGCTGCATTAGAAGGGGATGAAGGAGAAGGAAGCATGTCAGTAGCTACACAGCAACTATGCAAGCGATATGGAAACAAAAGTGAAACTTGTAGCACAAGTTCCAGGAACTGAATGCACATCACAACATATCTAACATATTCCACAAAGAACCTGCTTGACAAAACAACCAAACAGGTAGATGAACAAAAAGCTTCGACTGAGTCAAAGGAACTAATCACTCACAGCGGTTGTCGGAATGATCCAGCGAGGAGTGATGAGAGGTTTGAGCTGCTGAACTGGTGGGAGCTGGAAGACAACCAGAACAATGTTGTTACACTCTATCTTTAGCTGGAGGGATCAACTAGATAGATGGAAGAGCTGGATTAGATAGATGAGGCACTTTAATTGCAAAAGGGAAATTCTGGTGTTACAGTAGCTAGACATGGGAGTTTTACACAACAGGATTAAATGCTAAGTACTTTATATATTTTTAAACCTATAAATATTAATCTGAATAAAATAAATAAATTATAAAGGAGCCTAAAATAGGCCTGGATAGTTATACACACACACACACACCGATACAATATACACATTGTGGATAGTCTAAAAATAACTGTACAGTGAGGTGCAGGTAGGTTTAGGATATTAACAGCAGGGGTGTACGACGAACACACGTATAACATATACATATATGGTAGTTCAGAGGAGGAGAACGCTCTGTCTGTCAGGAGAGTACTGTACAAGGTGACATACACACTGACTGTACACTTGCTCACACACTGATTAAATGACTTCAGTGATAAAATGACAAATGGTTGCATGAGTTCAAAGATGTGGCACGTCCAGTGTGTGCAGACGTACAGCAGGTGTTGGGTCAGAGAAGTCGATCAAGTTGTCAGACAGGGGGGCAGTGTTTTGCAGGTCAGACTCTTCCCTTTTAATCTGCAGTATGACATAAACACTCATAAGCACAAACTACAAACAACCAAGAAACTTATGCACATTCAGTTTTACAAATTCATCACTGTGGCTAATTTATATATTAACGACCATGTTACCTTTGGTGCCAAGCCTTCGCTGGCAGACTCAGAGGGCATCTTGGGAACTGGGGGGTTTAAATCTTCAGCTAACCTCTCGGCACTGATGGATGGAAGAAGAGGAAAAAATGAGCAAAGGACAGAGGATGTCAGAGTTCTGTTCTACTTCATGAAAAATTCCTCAGAAGCACTGACACAAATGTCTCTCAGGTTTCTTCTGTATTATTAGAACATTGTGTTCATATGATTCCACAAATTCATGAATGATTATCAGTTATCACACAGCCCAAGATAATGTTTTCAAAAGCCACCTGAACCAGAATACTTGGCAGGTTTGTTTAACAACACACCAAGTAAGAGAGAGAGATTAGCTGATAATCAGAACTGCTGTCAGTTAATGGTTTGGTCTGACTGACCAACTGACTGATCATGTTTTGTTTCAGTAAAACATGAGTCTGTACTCTCTGGACTGCAGAAATAAAACAGTCTGAACAACAGAAGCATTTACTGCCTCAGTGAGCTTAGAGCCACACAGCCTTTGCAAATTGCCTGGTCAAGCGTCTGTGTGTGTGTGTGTGTGTGTGTGTGTGTCATCCTACTGTAAGCACTTACTGAACACAAACAGCAGTGGTATCCAGGCAGAACTCAAATCATGTGACTTAACACACCCAGACTCACACAGACACACACAAGGATTACTCATACATGCCAACAGATGTCAGCACAGACTACAAAGAGAGAGCAACACCTTTGCCTCCAATGGATCACTGTGAAATCTGTTGTTTTTCCATTTTATGTTCTGGTTATGTGAACTCAGGGTTTTATAGCTGTCTGTGAGATAAAATTATACAGCGTGGTTGACGCCACTCAAGAAGAAGCAAACGGGTAGTGTAATACAGGTGCACCCAGCTTTTTACTCTCAACTCCTTTTCTTTTATCCCTCCTTTTAACTATTTTACATCCTTTATAAATCATTCATTCTAACTAAATGTCCACAGTCTTTTCTTTCTCCCTTCACTCAAGGTCCCAACAGCCGAGGTAAGTGGAAGGCTAAGTGAATGGGATCATTACACAGGATGTGTTTGAAGTTACTGGCACAGCGAGCTGTATCGGTTTACATCCTCTGTTTCAGGAGAGTGATGATAACACTATGATGACCTTATTTTATCATGCTTTTACTAAATCAATTTTATCTATTACCTTGGTGTCACAGTCTTGGAGACTTTCTATAAAGAAAGAAATTCTCTTAAAACGGTAAAATGGTCGATTGGTGAGTCACAGCTGAACCTGGCGTCCCTGTAAACAGTCACCATTTTAAATGACAAACTGCAAACTGCACCGTTTGCACAGTGAGTTTCAGCTACTCCCCCTGTGGGCCGAAGTTTTTAGTCCCATGGTGTAAAACCAGGAGATATAATAACAGCTTTGTTCCCATCTGTAGGTTTGTCCTAATATCTTTTATGATGATTTAGTCTCTTATTTTGTATTTATTTTTGATTAGTACTGACCATTCTACTATTTTATTACTTTAATTTTCATTGTACTCCTTGTTCTTTTGTGTGTGTTGTATTCTGTGCTGACTGTGATAAAATAAATTCCACTGATTGATGCCATGCACTTTTAAGTGCAAAACAAAACTACCTTCAGGTATAAATAAAGTAACCTGAACCTGAGTAGAGTAATTAATATATAGAGTATTGAATATGACCATAATAATAATGATAATAAGGGCAATGATGATTCATTACATTAAAATGTGCTGATCATTTTCACTATATTTAAAAGTAGAGAAGAATCAATGCCACACCCCCGTCCTCTCAGAAGGATCACGAGTCTGCTGCTTGTACTGTAGTACTGTACACACAAACGCACTGACCTGGCCCCTGCTGATGAGACCAGTGAAGCTGGTTTTAGGAGTTCCCAGGAATCCTGGATGTCAGGAGGACCACTAATGGACAGAGACGAGTTGCTGCCCATTCGCCCGGTACGCACCTTCAGCCTGGCAAAAGACAGCACATATTCTTGTTTGTGGCAGCGACTTTGTGTCTACATAAGGCCCATCCCTCCAAGCCATATTCAGACTAATTTACAGAGGAGAAATGTTGCTCTCAGGATGTGATCCAGGGACTGCAGGTGATGTAATGTTGTGAGTTATGCTGATAAACCTCATAAATATTCAAGAAGTTAATCAGCTCTAGCAGCAGGGATTGCGATTGGCTGAGACAATGCTCCGACAGTTGGCGTGACTCAGGACGACGGAGGAGGGAAAAAGCCCAGTTTTAAGACAATGAAGCAAAAGCAACAAGTGCTTTTCCACTGTGCAAGCTTGTTCTATACTGACTATATGGTCCTTTAAATGAGAAGAGATTTTAAAAAGCAGTGTAATGCTGCAAAAACAAAAACATTTTTTCATAGTTAAATTAGATTTGAGCCGTAACAGAAAATGTTCATAACAAGTTCAGTTTAAGAAATATCATTCTTCTTTTATTTTACTTCAGTAACTACAGATTAATGAGTACAGCGTGTCATACCTAGCAGAAGCCTCCTGCAAGTTACAGTTTTTATCTCCAACCATTATGACCTGCTCCTCCAGAGACCCCTACGCAGAGGAAAACAGACAGAGATAAATGTAGCTGTAGACATGTTTATACAACTTTCACATTAGATTACAGAAACACTAAAGTACTGTAATGGGATTATCCAAGCTGTCATGTCGTCCCCCCCCCCCCTCTCTTTTTGTCCAGTGTGGTAGAGTGTGCTCCTGACCTTGAGGGCAGCAGTCTCTGCTTGTGCCTTGAGGATGTTACTCTTCAAGTCCTCTGGGGTACGCAGTAGAGTGACCACTGGACTACTGCCTGTACTACTTAGACCACACTTCTCTGTGAGCTTCATCACATCCTCCTCAGGGACACATCCCATAAAAGAACAACAACATTGGTACACTGTCATGTCATTCATATATTTTGAACTGTACACATGCTACTGGTCTGTATCTAAGAAGGCAATGGAAGGTTTTCATTAGTGCAGAACTACTGTACAAGCAGCAACTCACCTGATTGTTCATGGCCATATTGACATTGATGTTATTTCTTGGAGTAGCCAGAAGCGGACTGCTCTCCAACTCCAGCTGTTTCAGACGAGCTGCTGCATCTGAAGAGAGACAGATGAATTTAAATTCAACACCAAGTACATTTATTTTCTTTCAATACTTGCATAATAAAAGATCAATATCTGACAATATTGAGAATTATATTATGTGAATCACTTCTCTAGAAGTTCCTCTCTTTGCTTATCATTAACAACATGCACCAACTCTGGGTTTGTTAATAACTGACTTAATGTAAGCAAGACAACTGCTGGAAGTAACTGTGAGCAAAGGCAGTCTAAGTGTATAAAATATCAATAAGGCAGGACTGTGTCGGACTGCTGGTGCCAGTATCTCAAGGTCTGTTATCCTGCCAAACATCTACAGGCTTTCTTTTTAAAAGGTAGATCAACTAGATTACAGAAACATTTTCTGATTGATTCCACTTTGCGCTAGGTCTTCCTTACCGGTGAGGCTGAGCAGATCTTCTGCAGCGACACTGGCAGAAACATAGGCATTGCTTGGTCCGGCCTCCTCTGTGGCCGTCACCGTGGGAACAACAGGAGCCCTGAGGACGTCATCAATGCACGTCTCCATCAGGTCAGCAGTCATGGGCATACTAGAGATGATAAAAAGGAAAACGGGCATAATATGCTAATCATACGGTCAAGATGGAGGTTTAATGATAATTACATTTAAATATAAACACAGACAAATAACACCTGAGGTGATAATGCAGGTGTTTAACCAAAGGTGGAGCAAAATGATTCAGGGTTATACAGCTGTACAACTCACCTGCTGCATCCATAAGATATGAATAAACTCTGCAAAGGTGGCAGACCTGGCCTATGATATATCAGAAGACATTTTAGAATTATACCAGCTAGAAAACTAGAATATAACAAACAAAAAGGTCAAATATGCACAAAATAATAACTCTTTAAAAAAGCAAGTCATGTACTGTATGTTTATTGGTACTCCTGTGGGGCCACAAAGACGTGCGAGTTGTGCATTCACACAGAGTCGGCCTAAAAATAAACAATGTGCAAATGTGAACGTATTCTGAAGAGAAAACCAAGCATGATTCAGCCCAGTTATAAAACTGGTAGTAACTATGAAGTGACCCGAAGCAACATCTGACTCATGTTGGCAAGTTGGACAAACGTCATACTTAAAGTGCGTACATGCTTGTACTGCTCCTCAAACTCAACAGGTTCCACTGAGAGATCTCCAATGAAAGTCTTCCCAAGCGGCACAAAGGTCTTTTTACCCAAGCCTCATTGACATCAATGGACTGGACAAAATAATAGTAACACCTGTCAGTATAGTGCAATACAATTCAACAGCAGCACAAACTACATCTTTCTAAATATAGGGTTGAATCAACACCTCTCTACAATTGCTTCAACAAACCTGAGTATTATCATCTTCATAAAAGAAGGATTTAGGACTGCTGTATTAGACTACATCAGTTTCAGCTGTAGTTTCAGTGCTGTACCTAATAACCTACCAGCTGTGTGTATGTTCTTTCTTACGGAGCTTCACAGTGAACAGCATCTTTGTCATGTGTGTAAAATAGCTACAGCTACATAGTTGTACTGTAGACACAAAAGACTTGTCTTTATTGTCTCAAGCGGTGCAAGAAAGTCATACAGTGTAGTTCAGTCAATATCAGCTTGTACAAACAGCTCTTCATGTTCATCAGTCCAATCCACCATTAGCTTGATGGCTGGTCATTTCATAATAATTCTCTCAACTGTGCCTACACCACTGCAATTGTGTTGTCAAAACAGTTACAGTTTCCTTTCTATTCTGATTCAGTTTCCAACATTTAATGGAATTAGTCTCCTTTGATTTCATGCCAGAGGTTAGATGAGAAGGTCAATATTAATAGCATTTCTGAGTATAAAGTCCAGGATATATTTAGGGGAGCTTAACACAGGAAATGGGGAAAAACAGATATCTTTCAACAAAAGCACAAAAATGCATCATCCAGGATTTCTAAAATGTTTTCAACACACAGGGAACAGTGTGAGAATTTAACAAATTTGCATCTTTGACAGAGTGACACAAGTCTTTCCCCCCAGACTCTTTTCTTTTTTTTTTGTGGCTAAGAACCTCGTAGACAAATCTCTGTACAGATGGGAAAGATATACACCTTCTTATCCAATTCACTTTTAAAACAGAGCAGGAAATCCATGAAATATACAGAAGACAAACTGGAGAAAATCATATTTTTAAAAAAAAAATAATTTAATGGAATTAAAAATTAATATAGTTGGGGTCAGATATAATGTCAAAAACATGACATTATTTTTGAAAGGGTTAAAAAACAGAAGAGAACGTCCTTAAACGCTCCAACAAATATATTACCAGTGAAAAGTTTGCACACACTTTGCCAATTCAGTGGGGAAGTGTGTGCAAACTTCTGACTGATAGTGTTTGTGACCTATTGTTTCTTTGCAGAGTCAAGAGTGAAGTTGAATTCCTAAGCCTCACACTGACACCGTCTCACCGTGGACAGTCAGTTTCATGTGTGGAGAAGAAGAAAAGGGGGGAGGACAGAAAGAAATTGTTGAGGGGAAGAAAATGGAGAAAGGGGAGAGGGAAAAAAAAGGGAAAGGAGACTAGGAAAGATAAACTTCAGAGCTGTCATCAGAGCAAAGGTCAAGGAAAAGAGATGGAGTGAGACATGGAGAGCAGTTTGAAGTGTGACTGAACCTTGGAGAAGTGTCAGTCTGCGTGGGGTGTTACCAGACTGAATAAGTGGCACTTTGGTTTCTGCTGAGAAATGTGGCACAGTCACTACCACAAATACCAGTTTTTCATTTGCGAGTCACTGATGAGCCATTCCCATTTATTGTTGTGCTGTCCGACTCATGTCAGTACAGATGGCGAGACAGTTGTCTGTTGGTCGGATCTGTCCAACTCCACGTGGGGAGCTTTGATGAGACAGAGTAGGAAGGATGGAAGGAAGATGAGCAGACCTGAGGAGAGGGGATGGGGATGAAAAGAAATGGGCAGTGAGTGAGTGAGTGAGGTAGAAGGTAAACTAAAAGCAATATTGGAAGGAGGGAAAGAATAAAAGAATTGAATGAAAGCAGCCAAGAGAGCAGACTGCATGCGAAATGATTCCAGCCTGAGTGAATGACTGAACAGCTGGTTTAGCACAGCAATTAAGAAATACAGGGTGGAGCAGAATGCAGCAGAGGAGAATGTGAGCAGAAGGCTGATAAGTGTGAGAGAATACTTCTCTGAACTGTGATTCACTGCATATGGCTTTACGTGCAGGCTATCTTTAAAGTCTGTCACTGCCTGGAAGAGAAACGGTTTCTTAATGACTTTCTACATTTGTACCAATGCTAATGGCTCTGTTTTGGTTTTCACTGGCTAAACTACTGCCTGGCAAGTAAAATTATGCCATTGTTTGTCTCAAAACGAATAGCAGAGAACACGGCATTCTGAGTTCAAGTAGTATTTGTTAACATATTTTGATTAGGGTCATCACTGCAGTACCACATTACCGCGTGATTCAAAAGAAAGAAAACTCAGGAATGATTTTAACTATCTTTGTGAATCGTTTGGCAATAATGCCATTGACTGTACTGTATATATTTTATATATACACACACAATGTGGACCATATTGTCAGCTATAAGGCATTTATCACATACTGTATGTTTGTTTCACGCTTGGTAAAGTTGGAGACTGACAGAACAGAAAGATACAGCAGACGGACTCCTCACGTTATCAGGAGAACAGCTGTCGGCTCTAGTGCTCCATGCAAACTCAACAGTGAAAGGACAAGAAAAGAGAAGAGCACCAATGATTAGTCTAGTGACAGTGATACAGCGATGTCACTTTCAAAACACCC